CTGAAATTAACACAGCAAGCAAAACCTTTTAAACTATGCAAATAAGAGAGAACCTCTACTCTCTTGATGGCATTTTTGTTTTGTTCTTTTTTTAGCCGTTCTGCTTGTTAGCTTACTGTTTGATCTAGAACTTGCAAGAAGGTAGAGAAGCAAAAATAGAGTATTCCCACTTCTGATAGCCAAAAGTTGTGCATCTTTTTGTTGGATTCTGAAACCCTCTTAGTTTGACGCTGCAGCCCTGCTCAGACTACTAGCCCAGCCAGCCTGTTTTGGTTTAATATTTAATTCATTTACCTTGCTGCTTCTGTACCGGTGGAAACCAGCTTGCTGTGTTTTCTTCCTTCCATGGATAAGATATAATGCAGAGAAGCCCTCCCTCTTGCAGTCACTTCCTAAACATGACGGGCACTTGTTTTACCCAATGGCAGCACACAACCTCAACAGGACTGCAGGCAAGGAATAATTAACCCTGTATTTACCTATAGAGACACTGAATGAGAAACTTGAAATGTTTTTTTTTTAATAGGGGCTTTGTCAGAGTTGGAAAGTTTTGCAGAAGAGTGCATCAGCAAAGCAAGTCTGCTGAGCCGGAGAATGCCTTGTAATATGATTTAGTGTAAAATGGTTTAAAATAAATAACTTAGAAAAGCTCTCAAAAAGACCAACAACTCCTATTATGAGGCCCCACCAATTCTTCTCTCCTTCTACCGCCTTTATGTAGGTTAGACCATAATAAGGCCTTGGAACCTGCATTATTATGTAGCATAATCTCATTCTGATGCTGTTTGTAGGATTTGCACATGGGTTCTTGGTGTGTGGCAGCTTTTGCTGTCTGGGTGGCTGGAGGGGACTGGGAACTGCGTTCCAGGCATTTGGAGAAGGCCGATGCACCAGGATAGTTCTTGCCTTGTGAAATGTTGTCCAGTCCCAGTCCAGCTTCAAGATAAAAAGCTGTAAGGAGTAGGGACAGTAGTGGGTGCGTTGAAGTTGCCCAGTAACAGCATCTGGATACGAGACTGTACAGTCATACACACCTGATCAGTCTTCCCATCTATAGTGGGATGTATTGAATTTTTGTTTAAATCATAACTATTTCTAAATTTCACATGCTTCAGCATCTGTAAACTCGGGCAGATCAGTACCCTGCTTTTGGCAACGTGCCCCTCTAACTGGCAACGCACCAGGAGCCTTTCCCAGGGCAGGCACTGAGGATGGTAGCTCAGTCAGTGCAGGTGTCTCGGCTGAGGGTCCTGAGCTACCCGTTCTGCGTTTCGATCCAGTAGGATTCGTCCTCCAAGAGCTCATTTTACATTTCTCTCTTTGGCTCTGCCAGATTCTGCTTCAAGTGAAGCCTTGCCACCTCAGTTCACCAACTGCAGACCTAGGGCACATTGGAGCAGATTTTGGAGATAACAGGAAATGCACATTCAGCTGACATGGCGTTGTGGTCAGGCCTGATCATTACTCTGCGGATGCACCTTTGGAACATACTTAGGGGTCAATGTAGCTGAATGTTGCAGGAGAAAACTGGTAATGGCGAACCCACTATCCGTCCAGGAAATCAGCCCTCCATTATGGCTTTTGTTGGAGAAAAATCTGTAGACACGTAGGGTCTTTCTAGAGCCGTACCAGTGGCTATTGCCTGGGAAGGTGTCTTGCTTTGGGTGCAAAAGAACCAGGCTTCAGATTTGGAGGCACCTGCGTGAACAGGCAAACAAGAACTGTACTTTTATAGCAACCTTAATTTAGCAATCAAATACTTTGCATGCAGAAAAACTCAAGTTAAATGATTTCAGGCTGGGAAATCCCTCTGCTGAAGGCCCCGGAGATCCACCGCCAATCAGACTAGGCCAGAGGGACAAATGACTGCTGTGTAGATTTGGTTGGGTTACACTGCCTTTATACCTTTCCATTAACTAACGTCTTCTGTGGATGTCTTCCAATCTGTGTTGTGCAATGCATAGATATGCTGCCACCCCGTCATTTGCTGTATCCCCTTAACACAAGCTGTCTGCAGCAACTGTGTAGGCTGCTTAGCAGACCATGGAAGAAATTCTCAGATCCTCATTCAGCCTTCCCCAGAGCTGTGCCTTGGTGGAAACACTTTCACTCTGGTGGCTCCGGTCTCTGTCTGGGTTGGTTTGTTTGTTTTTGCTGCTTGTTCTGATCACGGGAAACTGCCAACAGGAACCTGACCAGCTGGGTGAATTCTCCCAACTGCTTGTTTTTGGAGCAGTAAGCACTGTGACTCACCTGTGTTCCTGATTCTTCCCTGTCCACACATAGACACACACGATGGATTCTTATGCTTCCAGTTTGGTTCTCAAAATTGCCAGTATTAAGCATTGCTTTATTCTCGTTGTGTGAAAGAGGTGTGGCAATGTGGAGATGTGTGAGAGAGGGAATTGGTAGAGTAGAAGAACCACCTGTGAAGGCTAGAGAAGAAGATTCTCCCTATACTCAGCCCTCCTGCAGTGTGTGGAAAATGTCCTTACTTTGTGGGAACTGAGTTGCAAAAGTCTTACGCTGTTGTGGTTCCATTTTTGGTCTTCAGCTGATAGTTTTCAGCTGAACTTTTCAAAATATATACAAAAGTGGAAAACACTGGAGGGTAGCTTACTTTCCTTTAGTAACGAGCAAAGCATGATGACAGTGCAATCCTATGTTCCATGGAGGTTTACTCCCTAATAAGTGTGCTTACTCTCTGTGAGAGAAAATAGAGGCATGCGCTCAGGAATGCCTTTCCCGCTGTGCCAAAATGTTTACAAGGAAAGCAGGGTGGAGGGGTTTTAGCCCAGTTCAGGAGCTTTCCGAGATGATGCAAGGGGCAAGAAAGCAGCCATCTGCCCTGTCCTGAGTTCCCCGAAGGAGAGGTGGAAGGAGATGAATAACTGAGTAAGTGAGCAGCCAATCCATTGTGAGCTCAGTGTTTGAGGTGAGGATTTCCATCTCTTGCATTGCATCCCAGTGAGTGCAGTCCAGCTAATTGAGATCCACCGAGAACCAAGCCAGACTTTCTCTACATATCTGTGCTTTTGGCTCCAGTGTTTGGCAGGGGTGATTGTCACTGTGGCGGTTGGTAACTGTCAGGGAACAACTGGTCTGGCCGGTCATCTGGCCTCATGAGTCAGCTAGCAGAATAAGTTGGTTTGCTTTTTAAACAGAAGTCAACCACATTGTGTCTGCTTCCTGTGTGTTCTTGAATAGTGTAAACCATGTGCAAGCATTAATGAGCAGGTGGGCACTCTCTGGTCCCAGTGGATTTTTCCAAAAAAGAAAAAAAAAGCCAACTAAGGGGGCAAAGGGAAAGTAGACAACTCAGCATTTACTGGTCCTGCGCCTTTCTTCCTTCTTCTCTGGGAGTGCTGGGCCAGCTTTTCCATCAACCAGTGGGTGTACAGTGGTTAGTACTTTGAAGTTTTCCTATCCCGGATCAAAAGCCATTTTGTCTCTGCTGGTGGGATGTGGCCAGAGGTTTGCCTCCACTCCCTCCCTCCTTTTGTTGTTGTTTTTTTAACTTCCCCTTTCTGGTAGAACTCTGCCAAGTACAGCAAGACTCCAGTGTATCCCTCTCCTTTTAGGGATTGGGGTGGGGTGGGGAGGGGAGGAAGGAGGAGGGAGGGAAGATGGGAGGAGAAGAAGGAAGTGTTTCTGGTTCTGTGGGAATGTGAGCTTTCTCCCACTCTGTAAACAGCTGGTGACTCATTGCATAGCTATGGCAGTGAAGGGATGCATGGCCTAAGGCATGCTCTGTGTGCCTGCGCGTGCGTGCATGTACATACACACGGATAGGGAGGGGAACTGCAGCTTGTTTCCTTCATGCCACATTCCACTCTGCTTCCTTGATTTTCTCGCTGAAAAGATTCCAAGAGAGCAACCCGAGGCTCTTGATTCCATGTCTTTGCTACCTACACAGTCTATCTTCTGCAAAGAAACTGCTGGACTAGTGAGAAGAAAGCTTCTTCCGGGGGTCCATGGCAAAGTCCAAACATGAGGGCAGGAGAAGAGAGCGGTAAAGGCAAGAGTGAGGGCCTGGGAAGGGTTCCACAAGTCCAAGGTAATGTGTTGGGCTCTTCTCCAGCTTGCTTAGGCAGGCTGCAGTATTCTCTGCAGCCCCGCCCTGCCTTATCTTACTTCCCACTATGTGGCTTGCTTGTGACTCATGCCCTCTCTGGCTCTGTACCTCTGATCTTGGCTGCCCCCAGCTCTTCTGCTTTCTTAAACCTGGCCTGCCCAGCTCTCCTCCTGCATATCTGTATGGTGCCACCCCACTGACTCTTTCCACAAGGCCAGCTCTTCTGTTTGGCAGAGTGAGGCGGCTGCCCAAGTGGCAGATTCCAGGAGTCAGGGAGTGGCTGGGGAGTCACTGGGATACTGAAGCCCTGCATGCCGTGTGACCACCATCTTGGCATTTGCCTCGGACAGCAGAGAGTCTCTCACTTGCCCTGCCTTTTTGTCTTTCTCATCTTTGAAACGAACCTTTGCAGTGCCGGCTTCGTTAAACCAGTAGCTCCCCTCCAAAGATGAAATGGAGTCTGGGTCAATGTGACTGCCTTTCCTTGTGTAGGTCCACTGCCATGTGTCCCTTCCTTCCAAGTGTGAAGTTTAGGACACTGCAGAATCCTCTGTTGTATTACCGTTATTTCTATAGCACAATCAGAACATCTTTCTCAGGTAAAATATAGAGAACAGCCTCCTGCAGTGCCCTGACACTTGTAGAGCCTTTGCACTGCCACATATTTTCTGATTTTCTTCCCCCCGTTGCCTTCTGCGTTATGACTGTTTTTGTGCCAGAGTTGCTCCTTCTCCAACAAGTGTCCTCTGTCTGCTTTCCCTGATCTCCTTCTTACAAAGATTAGCAGATGAAGTCAAGTACAGAGTACCTGCATGCATTTGGCCAGTGCTACAGTTGTACTGCTGTCTTCTCTGCAAGCTTTAAACATTGAACAAAGGTGAGAATGCTGGGAGATGAGCCTCGTTTTTAAAAGACAGGTGTGGTCCAGGCTCTTAAAGGAGCCTTCCTGTTTAGTGCCAAGCGTGTTGCTGCAGCTGCTTAGCAGTGAGAGGAATGCATTCTGTTCGTGCTCAGGTGGAACGTCATTGTATTACCTTATGGGCACAAGGGTCATGGGCACAGATGGGGAGTGCTATTCAATAGGAGTGGCTTGAGGAGAAGAGGCTGGACCACAAGATGACCAGTGGCCACAAGAGGGTTTTTTCCTGCTTCTTTCAAAGGAGCAACAGCTTCTTCGTGCCTTCAGTTTTATGCACATACCACATGATGCTTAACGGCGTTGATCATCACAAGTCAAGCAAGGCGTTCAGGCTGAGCCAGCCCCTTTCCCCCACATGCCTTCCATTCAGGTTCTCTCCCTGCTTCCACCCATCTCTGCCCCTTTCCTTTTCCTCCCCCAAGAGTGTCCTGGAATGAATGAGTTTGTTGACTCTCCTTCCATCCTCCCAATGCTTTTGCACAAAGATGACCTGGAGTCATGATTTGCTTTTGGGCTTCTCTTGTTTCTATGGTTACCGTCTCGGGGTTGGCTACTTTCCCAAGGTCACCATGGCAACTATCGGAAGGGAATCATGCTTGGGATGCTTTGGCTGGGTATCTTTTCTTTTTTCCCCCTTTTTTGTGAATGATTAGAATGTGTGACACGATGTAGACGTGGATGGAGACAAGTTTTTTCTTCTCCTCCTTGGGTCTCGGGGTGGCAGAGGGAGGAGGAGACGCTCTGGCCAGACAGTCCTGCCGTTTCATGTGTCTGGCACTGCAGCCTCCCTGAGACTGTGGTGCTTAGGCGCAACAGCCTTTCGTGTTCAGCCCCTCGGTTCTTGTGGCCCAGGCTGGCAGGGGAAAGGAAGCTGCTGTGATGTCACAGCTGCATTGCCCTCTGTTTCAGTGGTAGGTACGTGGCTCTTTGACAGCTGCTCCAACTGTGTCATCCGCGCGGTGTGATGCAGGTGAAGGCTCTGCACTGAGGTCTAGACAGGCAGACCGTCTCCTGTGCTGCTTTAAAGGGGTGTAGTTTTAAGTGTACCTGAGGTGAGAGTGAAGGGCAGCTGTCCTCAGCAGAGAGATGGGAGGGGGAAAGGGCATTGCTGTCGTGTCACATCTCCACATTGCTGAGAAGACGAGAGGGCCCTTAGGGTGAGAGGACCTTTACCAAGTGAGAAAGACATTGCATTTTTTCTCTTGCAACCTGTTCATTCTTGTTTTGCCATCTTGTCATTTGTGCGGCATCGGTCTTTCTTCTTTAAAAGGCATGCCTTCTTTTAAAATGTGGGCAATGGTGGGCAGGAGGGGTTGAGAATATAGAGGTTTGTACACTTTTCTAAATGGCTGCTTTAAATCTTCTTGTAGGGTCAGAGATAAAGAACAGGAGGCTATGTCCAGTTGTTTTTGGTGAGCTTTCTGCAGGGTGGTGATGCAGAATTAAAAGTTAGGCTGTTGTTTGGCTTCTGCTTGTGTCTGTGTTCAAACCATATCCCCAGATTTCTGCTATTGGAATAAATCTGTGCAAATTTCTAAGATAATATTTGCATGCTTTTTAAAAACTGCAAATATAAGATAAAGCAACCAGCTTCATTTGTTAAGATCGGGGAAGGAAAAATAGGTTTTATGGAACATAATGGGAAAAACAGAACTGAGACAGGGAAGCAACAGTCTGAATTCAGAAATCCCATGTCTCAAATCAGTTGTTTGGGGTTCAGGGATGATTCAATTTGCTGTCAAGACATTTTAGTGACATGCTTGTTAACAGTCACTAGTAAAATTTACTTTTATGCTCTAAAGTTGTTATTGGCCTGTGTGGACACAAGGGTGTTGCAGGGAAGGAGTATGAAGGTTGGGGTATGTGAAACCATGAGCTGGGACTCTAACTGCCACAGTCCTTTCTCTCTCCTGCCACAGCATCACTCTTATTTCTTACCAAGTATGGATTGAACCGACCTGCCTTTTTGTTCTTGAGTGAATGCTGCTTAGCTTATCTGCAAGCCTTTCCTGGCCTAACCAGTGAGAATGTCGCCCATATTTCCTTCGGTCTCCTAGCCATTCAGAATTGCCCCAAAGCTTGGTGCTGAGCACATGCTTTGCAAATAGAAGAATTCAAGTTCACTCCCTGCTGTCTCTACCTAAAATGGACCCCGCTAGGAGGGCTGAGAAAGACCAGCCCTCGCCCATCGCCCATCAGTAGTCCAGAGAGATCAAGTGTCTGATCTACTGAGCTAGAGAGAGAACAGAGGTTTGTGTGTGTGCCAGGTGGCTTCTTCATGTGTTCCTTCATGTGTTTGATCAGAATTTAACCTGCTAGAAGTGTGTGCTGCCAAGTTGCTCTGCTAGTTCTCAAGGGTTTGCAGAAACTCTCAGATTCTGTAATTTGTAGCCCAGTGACGACAAAGCAGTTTGCTGGGTGAAGTGGGCAAATGGAAAACATGAGTTGAACAGAGATGTTACACCCCTGCTGTCTGAATGCAAGTTCTCAGAACCACTCGCCCCTCAGTACTTTTTTAAAATGAGCTTGAAGATTTAATTCCAGGCCTTGGCAAATGTCCCAAACCTGCGAACCAGGGATGGCTGCATGGGGTCACTGGGGATAGGGAAGGTCCTCTGTGGCCTGCGAGAGCCTACGCCTAGGTAAGATCAAAATAATGGACCTGTGAGCTGCAGGTGGCACACACAGGAACAGGCATCTTGGTGCCTTAGTGCTTCCTCTGACCTTGCTTCTGTAAATCCAGCTCTTACATTTAAAAGAGGTGGTTTTATTGAGTCACCCATTTTTCATTTCAAGGCTGTAGTTGTCATTAAGGGACCGTGAAGAATCCTGAGGGAGCCTAGGCAGAGTTCTGAGAGGGGCAGATGCCACAAGCCAAGCCTTCCTTCTCTCACCAAGAACTGGTAGAGAACACTGCAGAATAATCTTGCTGATTATTCTGTGCTCCTGTTGGTCCTGACAGGAACTGAGTTCCTGGAAGTGCTCAGACTTGCAACCTGGGGGGTATCTGTCAGGTATTCAGACTGTATTGACACCCCCTACTCCCTGGCTCTGATCAATGCTGGAAGGAAACTAGCCACACCAAAGCCCCCCTCTATGTCAGTAGGTCAGAGCAAACCAGATAGTTCTCTTTGATACACAGGGTTCCCAAGTAAGACTTCCTTCCTGGTCTGAGCAACTGACAGCCTTCTCTGCTGTCTTACTGTTAGCTACAGACCACTACCTGCATTCTGTCCTAACTCAGCAGGATCTGGCTCAGCCCTTCTCCAACAAGGCCTTGCTATCCCTGCCTGAACTGGGAAGAAAGGATCCCAGGAAGAACCCCTGCATTGTTCTTGCAATGTTTCCTAGCCTGTGGCTTTAGTATCAGGCCTTGGATAAAGCTGCTCTTTATGCCTCTCCTAGTACCACTTTTGATTATTGACCCAGTTTGCAGATCCTTATACATGTAGAATATAGTCTCCTTGGGTGTAGGTATGCATTGCTGCTGTCTTGAGGACCAAGTGGTTAGTGAGCAGGGTTATGTGTTTGCTGAAATGATGTACATTTAGAAGAATGGGGGAAGAGTTCAAAAAATTGAGAAGTGTCATCTCAAATAGACATTACATAGAAAGGAGAGGTGATCTTCTTTGAATCTAAATATAGCATATGGGTAGGAGAAATGTCCTCTTTTGAATGTCTTTTCTGAATGTGTTTCCTTTCTCTAAGCCTGCACAATATTTTAACTTGTTGCCACTTTCTTTTCTTTCTCCCATTTTCTTCCCTTCCCTTCCAGTTGCAATTTCTGAGCAGTTCTGTCCAGGAGACTGTGCCCAGGTTATGACGACTAATCCAAAGCCGAACAAAGCATTAAAGGTAAGTTGACAAAGTTTAGTTTACTTGAAGAAAAAGCACAGTGTGACCTGCAAAAATATCTTGCAGTGTGGTATTTCTGCTCAGGATCCCAGCTACCACCTTCCATCCTGTTACCACCTCCCCACAGCTGGTTAGCATCCTGTGGCCCTTGAGCACGAGAAATCATCTTTAGGTTGTTCCTCTCCCCCTGCTTTTCTGCCTGGGTGGTAGTAGTAGTAGTTGCTTCTGCTGCTGTTCTTCTTACACATACCTCAAGGTTTCTCCAAGCCTGCGGCTACCTCCCTCTGGTGAGCGGGTGCTGGTGTTTTGGCCATGTAAGCAATCACACTCGAAGCCAGAGCGTCAAAAATATAAAGAATAGTGGTGGCTGAATGGACTCACCATGGACTGAAGCTTTCACCCAGTTGTGAGTTTCCAGAGGCTTCTGGCTCAGTGCTCTTGGCAGTAAAATGCTGGGCTAGACCAGCCTCATAAATCTATCCATAAATGTTACAGCCTGCTGTGCAGCTAGTAGCCTATTAACTTCTTAGTCTAATTTAAAAGTTTGACTTTTACCTAATGGACTGGTGAAGAAGAGAGGGATCGCTCTGGTCTCTCTTCCCCGCTGCCCTGCCCCATGGACAGGTCACTAAACTTTCATGATGAAGAGTTGGCTAACTTGCCTGTAATATTTTCTCAGTGCCTGTGGTGAGAGTCTAGTGCTTCAATAAAAGGCTGGATTAGATAGACCCCGGTCTAACCCAACAAGTTACTTGTTTCACGTTCTCTAATGATGGTGGATCTTCTCAATTATTGCCTTCATTGTCATGATTCTTGCCTGGCTGCTCAGAGGTGATGCAGCTTTACTTGCCTTCAGAAGATAGTTTAGCATTAAAAAAAAGATACCTGCAATGTGGGATCGGAGATTCTGTATCTGTAAGCTCTAGTTTTCTCACACTCGTGACATCACAAGTACGAGCCCATAGTACTGTGCTCGTCACACTCATAGAATGCCTCAAAAGTCAGGTTCAGTCCTCCCACATTCAATTAAAAGGATTTCAGGTTGTGAGCTAGAAGATTTCCAAGAGATTGCCTGATTTCCAAGAGAGCTGCCGACAACTGAATCAACAGGTTCAGGTTACATGGATTCGGCCTGAGTCTACACAGGACCATTTCATATGCTTAAGTCTGTTAACAGATTTCCTGGATGTCCTGATATGGCCACGAATTTCTCTGTATCATCATCTGAACCATTTCCCTTTTCATTCCATGAGGAAGAGGGACACGGGAAACCCCTCCTGTATAACATCCTGAGGTTGATGTGACTTCTGGAGAGGAAGGAAAGAGCTACTCCACTGCTTCCTGGCCTTCAGCTAGTATTAGACTGCAGTGCTACAGTGGGAAGCAAAATGGCCAAGCTTTCGGCCCATGCATGTATTATGACTTGTGCTCTGAAGAGTACAGCGTAAATTTGCAGTTTTTCTAAGACTGGGCATTTAACTGGTCAAAAGAAATTTGCTCAGTTGGCTAGTCATATTTTAATTAAAAACTCTCAAATAATGGCCAAGCATTTTTAAAGCAATGACTTCATTAGTACAGCAGAAAAGATACTTTAACATTGGCAGGCTTGCTACTTATGGTAATTACAAGAACAACTTGGACAGTTAACTTGTGAAATAATAAAATCGACTAGTTTTCTAAAAATGTAGTAGATGGATGTAACTTTGCAGTATTAGGTAAGGATTTTGGAAATGTGAACGCTATACCAAACAGTGGCTCAGTGGAAGGAACCAGATGCAGATTGGTGGCCTGGAGGCTCAATCAATTTCCTACTGCTCTCCATGAGCCATACCATGTATATGTGCAAAGCAGTGCCTGAATATATGCCTGATCAGGGATTCTAATACAAAACTCTCAAAGTGGCCAGTAAAGCTGCTAACGGCCTGGGCAAAGGATAATCAGTCAATATCCTATGAAATTATGCAGGAAAAGAACACTGGGGCTTAGAGATAAGCGATCTATAAAGGCTTGCCCAAGCAGAGACTTTCATTTTACTTGCAATTTTCCTTGCTGTTAGAGATCTGGACCCCTTGCCAGCCTGCTACAAAGAAACCCTGGCACCTGCAAGTATTTCTAATGTGCTCTCTAGCCACTCTAGCAAATCTTCATATGGAAAAAGTTTCATATGCAATACTCTAGATCATATCCAAGGCAGCACCTTGAATTGGAGTGAGAAACCAGTGAAGATACATTCTTCTTGACTGATCTTTGTCAAAAGGGTGCAGCCTTCCTTTGAACTGTGAGATTTCCAGCCTTCAAGGGCAGTCCCACGTAAGCCCATGGCAGTAGTACCTGGACATTGCCAAGGTGGGGACAGCAGTGATAGAGAATGGCAAGGCTGTATGCTGGTTTGCACCCCCCATTACCTCTGTGCCGTTGGTGTCTGCAGGTCAAGGAGGAGTCAGGAGAGAACGCCCCGGTGCTAAGCGATGATGAACTCGTGTCGATGTCTGTGCGGGAGCTGAACCAGCACTTGAGGGGTCTCACGAAAGAAGAGGTCATCCGCTTGAAGCAGCGGCGGCGCACACTCAAGAACCGGGGCTACGCCGCCAGCTGCCGTATCAAGCGTGTGACACAGAAGGAGGAGCTGGAGAGGCAGCGGGTGGAGCTGCAGCAGGAGGTGGAGAAACTCGCCCGGGAAAACAGCAGCATGAAGCTGGAGCTGGACGCCCTGCGCTCCAAGTATGAAGCGCTGCAAACCTTTGCCCGCACAGTCGCCCGGGGTCCCATCACCCCAACCAAAGTGGCTACCACTAGTGTCATCACTATCGTGAAATCAGCAGAAATATCCGGCTCGGTTCCATTTTCAGCAGCATCCTAGTGTCCGTGGTGGGAGAACTAGCAGCCTTTTTGGAAGGGAAGGTGGGAGCCTACTTCCATTTCACAGCCTGCCTTTCTGTAGAATCAAAAGTCCATTTTTCCAAGACCACCAAGTGGACTCTTCCAAAGGAAAACATAACTGGCTGTTCCGCTGTGCGACTTGAGTCCTGTGAGTCTTTTGTGGCCAACATTGGATTCCATACCTAGTAGTATGAGTTGCTCAAAGGGTCTTGCACAGCTCTTCCTCATAGCCTAAGTCATAGGCAGCTCCCCAGCTGGGGGAAGACACTAGAGAATGCGCTGGAATGTTTTTGAATGAAACCGAACAACCCGGAAATGGATGATCAGAATTGCTTGCTGTGGTGTATGAATGATTGAATGAATGAAGAAAACAGCATCTTCCTCCCTTCAAAAATAAGAATCAGGAGAAGAAGAATGTCCTGTCACGGCCACCTTTCTATCCATCACAGAGATATAAAGCAGCTTGAGCAGAGAGTTCATCAGAATGTCGTGGGGTCGGGTCAGGTCTCTTCTCTCCACTTACAGAAAGGCTTCATGGGTGAATCCCTTGTTTACCAGTTGATGTGACTGTTTTTCCACCCCTTCCCTCATGTTTCCCCGGTGCCATGAGGCCTAGCAAAATGGAACAACATCTACAATGCAAAAATGTTAGCTGCTTTCCCATTATGTGCCTGTGAATTGGTTGTCTTTTTTATTTAGTGTTGTTGGTCCAGTAACTCTCTCATAATAACAGCTTTTTAATCCAAGTCCCATAGTGCTGCGGGGAAGAAAAAATGGGAAGCAATTAAGAAAAGCATGGGATTTGTGTGTGTTGGTGGGGTGGGAAGATGTTGTGAAAAAAAAAACTAGAAAAGGAACTGGTACAGTAGGGATTGGTGCTCTCAGGAGCTAGAAATCCTGCAAGAGAAGGGAAAAAGATGCAAATAAGCCACAGAAACAACACATAACCTTAGATCTATAATCTTTCTGACTTTGATGGTGCTTTTTTATGGTATTCTTTAACATCAAGAGGTAATGCATGGCAAACATGAGAGGGCAGTGAAAACAAAACAATTTTCTTTGGTAGATTGGTTTGTAGTTACGGGTCCAAATATCTCCAAGGACATGTGGTCCTAAAGATACTCTAAAAACTCTGTAGGGCATATGCATTATGCAAAGGAATGCTCAAGGTTTAAAAGTTGGGATTATTTGAGCAAAGTTGGTTGGGATATGTGTTTGCAGTTTGGATTGGCTTAGTACTAAGTAGGAGAGGCAGTTGGAAGCAGGGAGGGGTGGAAACCTCCATGTGTATGTATGTGAAGGATGCAGATGACAGAAAGCATAGCCATGTGTCTTGAACTGTTCCAGGCTAAGTAGGGTTATTCTTGTGGAGGAGGATGAAGAAAGCAGAATATTGTGGACTCCTCTGTTTAAGGAATAGAGGAGTGGCTGATGGCCAAAGCTACTTTGTAAATGAGGTTCTTTAAAATGTCAGCAAGGTGAAGGTAGAAAGGGAGAGCAGGTTTAAGGTTAAATGGAATTTTGTGCAAGTCACCTCTTTGCTTATTCCCACTTTAAATAGGACCCTGAGAGAGAGTTCTGCTTGCTCATTTTTTCTCCAAGTTATGATCCTTCGGAGGGGCTCAATCGCTAATGTAATATTTAATGTTTTCAGTGCTTCCCCACAGAAGATAACTCCCCACACAAGCACCCCCAGTAAGCATGCCAGAGGAAAAGCTATCCTAATTTTTTCCTTCACTCGCTCCTAGTAACCAGCATTTGATAAATATCAGTAACAACATCTTCATTACAAACAGAAGCCACACATGGCAGAACACTGTTTTACATGAAGAAGCATTCTGACACCCAGTGTCTCACCTGCAACATCTGTTGGGGTCCCTCTCTTCTGCGCAAGAGAGCAGCAGCAGGACCAATGGTGGGCGCGGGCCGGGCTGTCTCGATGCTCCCTCATATAATATACTCCCCTGGGTATGACGTGGGTTTGAGGTCAAGATGCTGTTTTCTAGATGCTGGTTACCACAGCAGGGTGATATTTTAGTGATGGTGGTGTGAAGCTCTGAGTATGTGCCCACATAGCTGGCATCAGTGAGGGGACTAGGTCCCTGTCCCATCCTTGGTTGCAAGTGTGCCTCCACAGGGGTAAATTGGGAGCAGTCGTCTGCCCGATCCATGGTTGCTCGGTTGCCCACCATTGGTGGTGAGTGGAGGCCATACTTCCTCAATGGGGTCGGTGACGTGTGGTCTAGCACCAGAGGAGGTTGGGCGAATGTAGATTTATACTTGGATACTTTTTGTAGTGGAAAATATCTCATGTCATCTAATAGTTTTAGCTTCCTATGCCAGTGCCAGATCACATGTATACTCTTAACAAGCGTTAATAAAATCGATGGTTACAGTCTTGTAACAACCATGGGGGACGCCCCCACCCCCAACAGTAATCTATGCGAGACTTAAATTAATCCCAGACTACTGCTTTGGTGGCTTATTGTTGAGTCATGATTAACTCATTTGTACTTGTAACCTTCTAGAAGGCAAGTTAATGTTCTGTGTTTACCTGTGCTGCTTTTGACTCCCTCAGCTGAAGTTGAGGAAGAAGAAAAAAAAGAGATTATATATTACTATTATCTCCTTTTAGATGTATTTTGGAAAATCTTGGGACCTCTGCAAGCTTCTTGAGTTCTTACAGCAGAGAAAGGATTTAGAATCCTTGCACTGTTAGGGCTTTAATATAACAAATAGAAATGGCCAGTGTGGATTTAAGGATGCCTGAGCACTTCGTGTATGTCACTGTCACCCCAGGATTCATTCTCAAGCAGGAAACTTGGTTCTGGCTCCACAGTCCAGGACCATCTCATAGCTGAAACTCTGAAAATGAAGGGGTAGAATTAATCTTAGTTTCATAGAAAGGAAAGACTTGGAGTTTCTAACTCCAAGCTTAAAGCTGCCATATCTAGGGAAGAAATGCATCACTAACAGGAGGAACTACTCTACCCATCCCATTGTTCTGCTGCCTTCCTCATCTGCCTGTCCTTGACTGCTCTGCAGATGGTAACATCTGATTAGTGAGTAGCCTGCAGCACTCAAACCCTCTAAGTATGGAACTCGGAGTTTTCTCATCTCAAAGTTAGATGTGCAACACGTTCAGTCAACGTGAAGAAAGGAATTTACCATTTTTGAGTGGTGCTTGCTTGCAACTGAGGCATAGACAAATAATAGCTGGTTTTAAAATATTTAAAAACTGATAGACATCTTGATGACTGTAGCTGTATCGAAATCCTATTTGTGACCCGTGAAGCTAGGATTTCACCCTAAGGGTTTGTATACACAGTGTGTTTGACCCATTGCTTGCTGTTTCATGGCATGTAAACCATCAAATAGTTGCTGCAGAATTCCTGCTGGGGAACTGCTGGGAGCCAAACCTGTCAGCTGTGCTTAGAGCCCTTCTTAGTAGGTAGCCCATGTCCATGTTGGACCTTCCCCATATTGGACATTGCCACTTCTCTGCTGTGTTCCTTTCACCTCCTCCCCAGCAGCTGCCAACACCCCAACCTCCGCTGCCACGTTCCTTTAAGCTACCACAATGGATGGATGAATGTCCTGAGGAAACGCGTAAGCCACTCATGCTGTCATGCCCATAGCATCAGGACAAGCCATGTCACTTGATGGGCCTGGCACAGCAAGCTGAAAAGGTAGGGTTGGTTTTCCCCACCACTTGACCAGCACTCTGCTAGGGAGAATTTCTCCTAAGGCAGGCAGTAATCCTTTGCAGGGTAACTGTGCCTTCTCTCAGTAGTTAACTTGAGAACCAAGAGTAGCTTCTGTTGGGTAAACCACAACCAAGCAAAAAAACTGGGACTGTGTATCTTTACAGTTCAATCAGGAGCAAGAGGCCTAAGGCATAATTAAAGCTGTTGATACCATAGTCATGGTAGGTAATCCATATTGGATATCAATATAAGGACCACATGAAAATATTTGAGAGATACACGTATAGATACAGATATATATAGATATATAAATATATAATAAATGCATAATTATATACATTTTATCGTACAGATTTTTTTGTAAAGGATACTGGGTCTTTTCAGTGTGATATTGTCAGTTTTCTTATTTAATAGTGTGTGTGTGTGTGTGTGTGTGTATATATATAAATATATGCATGCCTGTTTCTGGCAGGGTTGGAGAAGGTGCAAAAAAAGCTGATTAGTTCTCCGACGATGCCCAGAGGAGTCAAAAAGACATGCAGTTATTGATGGAAAGAGTCTGAAAACTTTTGCCATAGTTGTCATTCATCTTGGCTTGTTTGGATGCCGGGGCAGAAGCCAGTATTACCCAGCCGATGCAGCCTCCTTTCAGGGGCACAGACAGTGGGGAGCCTTGCAAAAGTCCCACTCCCTCCCTCGAATAATGGGAGTTGCAGGAGAGCTGTGTGGCTTGTGTCATACGCCACCCGAGGAGCACTTGTTTGTGCAACCGTTCTTCCACATGCAGATAGCTCTTGCTTTAGGGATGCCGCCCACCTTACATAATTCACATAGGAGGCACATGATTGTGAGCAATGATGTGTGCGAACTACCACCTATGGTGATTGCACATGTGGGTTTGCGGATGGGTGTATGCATACATTTGGAGTGTAAGGGTTACTACGCTACAAAATGCCCATCGTGTACTCTCTAATAAGGCTTCACCCATCCTCCTTCACCTCGCCCTCCGGTTCGTTTCTTCATCCCTTTGTTCTTGGTTTTGTTTTCAGATGGCAAGCAAAGAGAACCAGCACGTGTTGGCTTCTCATAGGCCATGCCATGGGGGAGCTCCTTTCTAGCTCTTGCTTGTTTTCAGTGAGGCTTTCAAGAGAACTCCCCGGTGGATGGTGTCTCCTTTAAAGAGGCCCTGGAATAGCCCCTGGGGTGGCCCTACTGTCCCACACTGGGTTCACGTCACGAGGGCCTAATCATCTGGGCCTTTCTGCCATGTTTGGCACTTCTCGGCCTGCTCAGCTCTCGGAGTGTGGTGGGGGTTCAGGCGTGCGTGTGCATGCCTAACGCACTGTGACGCCTGCGTTAGATATGCCTTGCCAACAGGGCTTCCAGTGCCAGTTCTGCTTTTCACTGAGATTTTTTCGTGGGCTCCACATTCACCTTCAGTCTCAATATGTGTAAGAGGCACAGGTGAAAGGGCTAAACAGAAGTATCCAAAGATAAATGGTAATCCATGGGTAGTCAGTTGACTACCTGCAAGGAGATTTTGGGTACGGGTCCAACAGCTAACCGGTTGGATTGCCCTGGTCTCTGCTGCTGTTTGACTGGGCCAAGAGAAAATTTGCTTTGGCAAAAATTGAGCATAGCATAATGACTATTCTACAATATTCAAGCTACTGAGACTGATGGCGTTCTGGATTTAATAGACTGACTGTTGTGGTGGAGGCTAATTTTGAATGAACCCTGTTGGGGGGATAGGAGCTCTTTGCAGGTAATAATGCTAGAACATTAGGGAAAGAACCTTTCCAAAGATTGCTAAATCTTTCTCCCTTGTATGTTAATGATACTACATGCAGGGAGGTGTGTGTGTGTGTGTGTATGCATACACACACAGGGGAGCATTTAAAAAGCCCTCCCACCAGTGGTTCAGTCTCAAATTCTACTTCATCAGCTTACCATTTCGATCCACGTAATGCATTGAATGGCTCTTAGATATGTCAAAGTGATAAACCAAATTACTGATGATTGCATGGGGAAAAGCATGTGTGGAAGGCACTGAAAAAATAGGTAGAGCAGCCAGGCATGGGGGTTTATTCATGGGAAAAGTGCAAAAGGAGTTTGGGTTACCGGTGGGTCCACAGAGCTCAAAAAATTAGCCCCCTACTCCCCAAAAATTCACCTAGGGTGCAATCTTACCCATTTTAGACAGAAAAAAGATTTCAAATCCCAGCATGCCCCAACGAGTCATAGGAGTTTGTGGGCTTTCTTCTGTCTGAACATGTGTGGGATTGTGCCTTCAAGCTTTATGACTACTTGATTTTAATATTTAAGGAAAGAAGCCTTTTTAAGTGTGGATTCCTCCCCCACAACCTTTAATACATGCTTTGGTGGGCTAGAGCGTGTTTCCATGGATGGCAGATCCTATTGCTTCTCTTCCCCATCCCTAAAAACTTAGACAAATCTGCTGTGTTTTTTTTTTTAATCACTTGTCCATTGTATCCTCTGTGGTTTACTCAATTTGATTTCATTTCAATATTTATTTTTGTGCTGCTTTTTATTATGGAATAAATTATTGATATATCAAGTAATGTGAGTGGCTGTTCTGTCAGGTGTGTACACTGTGTGTGCGTGTGTCCAATCTTTTTTTCTTTTGACAAACACAATGTTAATTTATTGCTGTAAATTTTAAGCCGCAATGACGCGTTTGTTTTGTACCTTTCCAATAAAGCTTTTTCTGGTTTCAGATCCAACTTGGTCTATGATCAGTGTGTTCAGAGCTTGAGTTCTTAAGATGCTTTCCCATGCACTTTTTCATAGACAAGACAGGGTTGGTTGCTCATGAACAAAACCTGGCTGCCAGCAGGCTTCCATCCCTTCTCTAGCCAAAATTTCAGCTGGCAGCATTGGTCCATTTGAGAGGGCCAAGAGGACAGAATCAGAACCCACAGTACCTGTTACTATGACCCACTAAACTCACTGGGAGGCATTAGCAAGTGTTCCAAATTTCAGAGCAGATGTTAACAAAAATGGGGGATGGAGTGGAGATCGGCAGAAGAAGTGGAGTGGTAAGAAAGCCAAGAGGGTTGCAGACTCATAACCGCCTTGGGATGGACTGCAGGAGCTGCTGTGCATATTTAATTAGGCCATGCTAGGTAAAAAGTAGGATCTTGGTTGCTGTGAGGATTGCTAGGGCAGAGAAATCATTGTGGCACTCTCCTTCCCTCGCACGCACACACTCGTTCAAACCAGCAGTTACCTGTCACTAGTGCTAAGTGGAAGATACAAACTCCTCGTGAGTTCAAAAGTAATGTGAGAACCCTTAAGCTTCAGCTCCTCTTTAAGGAAAGGAAACACACCAAAAACCTGTTGGATTTATTTGCAAGAAAGGAAACCCTCTTGCATAAGATTAGAGCTTGATGTCCTTTCATTCAATGGATGAACAGCAGTTTCAGGACAAGGCGAAACACTGCTTCGCACAATGCGGAGTTCAGTTGGGGGAGCTACTCTGCTGCCAGAGGCAACGTCCGGACTGTTTGCAAAGAAGGTTGTGAGAGAGGACAGAGGACTGGCCCAGCTGCCACAATGGCTCGGAAAGACTGGCATGTTCAGAAACACTGTGCCACAACAGAAACAGTTGGGAAGCGTATGCAGGGGCAGGCAAGTGCCTTCAGGCCCTACCTTTGGTCTTCAGGGATGGACAACAGGATGGTGAATGGAGCCCCCACATCTTCGCTTGGGAGATCCAGGAAGTGGCACTAAGGGACCACCTGTTCAGCCCAGTCTGAATTTCACCCCACTCCTGCAGGTATTAAGTGCAGAGAGAGAGAAAGGTAGCATGCATGGCTGTGCTTTCTCCCCAACATGCTACTCGGGTGCACAGAGCTGAGGTCAGCTTTGGGTGGGGAGATTAGATCCAGACAGAGCAAGGCAGGAGGAGAGGTTAAACTTGCTTTGGTGCTACCATGCCTCCAGTCTTTGAAGAAGGCATCTGTTTTGGCCCCAAGAGTGTACAACCTGCAAGCCAGGATAGCCTTATTCCAACTCCTTGTCAAGATCACATTCGCCTCCAGGAGCGGTGGCTTTTCTCAGGCTATTCAGACAAATTCGGTCTCCCAAGAACTCGTGTCATTCTGAAATGAAACACAGGCTCTGTCTTCCAGTGTACGTAGAAAAGGCTGATGGGAGATGGAGATCAATTGGGCAGTGCCAGGACCAAGTGCTGAGTCGTTAAATGGCAACTACCTGCAATCTGGGCCAGTCTGATCTTCCCTTTTTGGTGCCTGGAAGAAAATAGTATAAGCTTTCTTGCTGGGCTTAAGCCTAAAAATCCCCATTACCCCATAATTACTCCTCATCTGAAATAGTAATTGCACTCTTGCATCACTAAATAGTTCTTCAGCCCATTGTAAGCTAGGCTTGGTTAGAAGCTCCTGCTTGAAACTTTCTTCAGTCCAAAAGCCCAGCACTGGCCCAAATCCTGGCCTACATTAATGGATCGCTGCTCCTTCTGCTTCCTTTGTTACATCCGAGTTCCTTCTCATTATGCATAACTTCTCCAGCCGTCCTCTGTTTTTCCTCTACCTGTGGAGCACAATCTTTCCCTCGGCATCTTTATGTTGGTTCTTAGAACTACATTCATCTGGACAGCAAACTTGGTTATGTTGCTTTCCACTGTCAAGAGAACAAATTGGGCTTCCATTGCTCTTGCTTCATGACATCTCCCCATTCCATCATTCCACTGATTTTAGTCACCAGGATGCCAAAGTTTACAAGGCAAGGTGGTGGTGGGAAGAAAAGCAAATGTACAAATAACTCATCTGAAGAAGCACCGGGAGTGGCACCACAGCTTTTTGAAATGCCCAGAGAGCTTCGGCTCTTGGGCAGTGTAGACATTAAATACGCTCTGAAATCAGCAAATGCAAAGGCAGGAGTTAGGGCCACGGGAAAAAGCAGGGTGCCCAACATGCCAGCTCTTTGCCCGTGTCTGCAATGCTCCAGTTTGCCTTAAGAAGATCAAAGCTCATTTTAACAAGCCACTTTGCCATGTTATTTATTATTTTATTGTATTGTATTTTTTAAATTATAGACCTATAGCCCTGTTAGAGCTCTCTGGGCAGTGTACGTTCCCATTGATGTTCTCCTGGAGGCAAGCGTATTAAAAGTTTTGCTGTAATTGCAAACTTACCATATATAAGGTTGAGTCAGGCCAGTTAGAGGAACTGGCAATCAATATTGGTACCAGAATGTTCTATCACTTGCAAAGAGACCAAGTTTGCACATCACAATGGAAAATCATGCATTAATGGACTCAAGATCAGTGCATGCTGGGTACATTCTGTGGCCATCTTCAAGCTATTTGGAGATTGCTCTATAGCATTTGAAGCTGGACACTATGTTAACACATAACGTGCAGGTTAATAGGTTAACGTGGGTTGTTTAAGCCATGATTAATCTAGCATATCCTGGATTGACTATCACATAGCAACCCCCTATTAATCCGATCGGTGGTTGAATATTCAAAAAAGGTGCTAAACTGTGAGTTGCTATCCAGGAACAGGAGAACACACACCTCAGAAGGTGATCTTACGAGGCTAAGTGCGGAAACCACAACACTGACGTTTCCAGTGCGACCCAACTGAATGAAAGGCTGGCATGGTTATCAGCTGCTTCCACACCAGGTTGCTAATGCTCGCTTGTGATATGCTCTCCTCCCACATCCCATTAAGAAGACTCTTTTGTGGCTCAGAATTGGAGAACCACCAGCCCCTCAAAGATTCGTTTCCTGTAAATCCCTTGAGCGCCCTGAAGATTAGCCATTTTTCCAGTTTCAGTTCTGATTAAGGAACTTGTTCTGCACCAATTCACTGCCCACCACAGAAAATGAAATGTTACATTTCTAAATGGGCCTTGATCTGACCCTATCCAACTCATTTACCAGGGAATAATTCTGCCAGCTTCTGTTTCACACCTGCAAAATGGCTGCAGTAAAGGCACTTCCGCAGGAACTGCAGAAGGTGGTACGCTGTTTTGGACCCAGGGTGAATGGCTCTTCTGGCCATGATCTCAACGGCATGAGACAACTGTAGAAAAGCCTCAGTCCATTTCATTAGAAAAGATTTTTATATAAATAATTTAAATGTTGCATTTTACAAGTCCACACTTTGTCCTCCTGGCCATCACTTCCTCTCTGTAAAATGGTGGAGCATCCAAAGAAGAATGTGTTTCATACATTTATCACACCCAACAAAAGTTGGGCTATTGCAAGCAGCTAGAGAACCCTTTACAACAAGACAAACAAGGCCAGATAATCATTAGGGAAAAAGCTCTCCAGTTAATTCCTAGGAAAAGTCACAATGCTCTTATGGATTTTCTCCCAAAACATTTCACTTCTTTTAGCACAGTTGGCTGCCTTTGCTACAGCTGATGGGACTCTTGGGCCTTCTTAGGTTAGTGCAGAAGGTGGAAAACTCTGACCTTCCAACTGTTGGAACTACAGTTCCCATCACCCAGGTGTGCTGGCTGGGGCTGATGGGAGCTGAAGAGCCAAAGTTTCCCATTCCTGGCTTGGAGAATGGGAAGCCTTCTAGTTAGCCAACCCACAATCTTCAAAATACAAACACTGGACCAGTGAAAGTGGCCATGGCTCAGGGAAGCAGAACGCAGTATTTATAGGTATCCTCCTGCATGAAACAGCGTGTGTGATGTTGTTGCCACACCGTGGTGTGGGATGGCATCTCTCCACAGCAACTTCACACTGTGCAGGTGGGCCCCGCAGCATCAGAAGCAAATCTGGCTGAAATCGAGGCCCTCCACGGGCGTGGCAACCCCGTACCCACGGTGAGGCGTTGGCCCCCCATGCCACATGCTCATCATAGCACGGCACAAAGGCACAGGATTAAGCACCCGATTGCCACCATGAACCCTTTTCAGAAGGGGCTTTGACAAATAGCTGGGAGAGGTCGCCTACAGCCTGCATCTCAAGAGGATCGTTTGTCTCGGAGCAAGGAAAGAGGTGCAAGGCCAGGTTTCGGATTGCCACGATGGCAAGTGTGAGAATCAACCACGAGGTAGCAAAAGATTTCTGTATACATTCCTCAGAGGCCTTTATTTCTACCATGCGGGTAAACCATTTTGGCTTTCTGCTGCAGCAGAAAGTTTTATGTTTGCTCCAGATATTTCTGATCTGTTGCAGGTCGGTTTTGCCAAACCTACTTGCTGAGGTAGCTCTCCACTTTAATAAGCCACCATTTTGCAAAACAAAGACGTCTTTACTCCAGGATCTTTCACATGTGTGTGTATATTCATTCACACACACATACATGCACGTAGAGAATATCAACTCTTAAGCTTCACCACAGCCTCACAAAACCTTCAATGACCATTATCTGCTTCGCTCTACTGTCTGGCAGCTGGTGGTAGTGAGAACTGTTGAAAAGCAAGAACCTCCTTAACAGTTCCTGCGAATGAATTCTCAACCCACTGGCCCTGACGCAGAAGCACTGGTATTAAGTTTGTGTGAAAATAATGCCCTGGCATTCCTTTCCATAGTTTCAGTGGGACCACACGGCGACTCTTGGACGGAAACCATTATTGTCATTCATTGAAAGTGCAATCCTATGCATGTTGAAAGGGGGAAATGGTACAACTCCCAGCATTCCACAGCCTTCCACTCTTTCTGAGTAAACATACACAGGATTGCACCCCGAAGTCTTTATGTTCCTTGCTTACTTCCCTGTTCGCACAAAACAAGAGTTCTCCCCTAGACAGCCCAGTCTGGGCCCAGTGAAGCAGAGCTGAGCTGTATCATAAAACACAGCCCAGAAGTTCTCACGGCAGTCTCCCAGTACCTCTGGAATGCCCATCCGATCCCCAAGGGAGAAGAAAAGAACAGCGTGGCCTGTACGGATTTGAGAACTAAGCCTTCAGGGATTCAGTCCTTCTTGAAGCAAGAGCTGGCTTGACAGGACAAGTGGCGGACACGTTCATTTCTCCTTCCGCAAGTCCGCCCAACATGGGCCAATTCTGCATGCTGGCAGGCAAGGAGGTTTTCCGGACAAAAAACCAATGCAAGTCCTCCTCCCTTATCGTCCATCCTATAGCTCGTCGTCAGAGACGATCAACACCCTCTTCTCAATGCTTTTGCTCCTCTTGCCATGTTGGCTGTCTGCTTTGGGTTCCACTTGCCCATTCTGTCCAGGCTCACCAGCTTCCTGCATGGATTGCTGCGTATAATGCTGGTATGCCGGGGAGAAGTTGTGTATCGCATCCTGGACGATATCCTGGGGACTCATGGTTTCCTTCAGCCCACTGGAGATGCTCTGCATTGGAGCGAGGTTTGCTGAAAGGAGGAGGAGACTGCAGTGAGGCGGAGGTGGGCAGAGAGAGCGAGAAAACACCTCACTATGCCTTTTGAAGAACAGAGTGAAGACATGACTCCCCATAAACAGATGGGGTTTATTGCTGCTGACCATGGCCAGGGGCGTTATTTGTCCATTTATGTGCTACGTTTCACCACCGGGCTCTCCATGTAGTCCAGGGGTGAGTTACTTTCGGAAGGCATGGGCCCCTTCACCCATGGACCTCCTGAACTGGCAATGGATTTTTAAAAATTGCATCCTCGGCAGCTATGGATCTTGTATGCAAATTAACCGACTCTTTTATGCCCCATAGTAGCTTTGCAGAACTGAAAGGGCCAGAAAGGGGCCATTCTGGATGCATTATGGGGGCGGGGGAAACGGGGGCCACAGGCTGCCCACTCTCGATGTCACCCAGCACATTTTAAAACAAGAATGTACACGTACCAACTTCCTCCTACAAGTTTCCTTCACTCTGCAGCCATTTCATAATAATAACAGAAGGCCCTGCCTTTGTCTTCTCAGCTGGGACTTGAAACCTTTTTTAGTCCAAGGGCTGAATATTGTTTTGGAGAAGATCTTAGGGGCATTTTAGTGACAGATTGGGACCAAAAGCAAGAGGGCAGGGCCAAAACGCCAAAAAACCCCAATTTAGCCTAGCACTCTTTCTGCTAGTAACTAACCCAGAAGAGAGACAGCACAACCCAAATAGGTGCTAGCATGGTTTTGGCTGCACCCACTGCTGAAATCAGGCCCCCACAACCCTCTTTGAAATGGTACTTGGCCCTTGAGCAGAAAGAGGCGGCACCCCCTGTTCACATAAACGCATTCACTGTTTCAGTACTAGCTTCAAACAATAACTTGCACACCCGAACGACCAATTAAGAATAGAAGAAAAGTCCAGGGCTCCAACGTGGAGTTCATATCTGTTCAGCAAATATCAGCCTTGCCTTCACCTCCTCACATCCCCCAAAAAACATGAGATGATTTCAAAGACAGATACCTGTTGCGCTCTCCTTTTTCTCCCTGTACACCTGACAGGTAAAAGCATACCGAAGAGCAATGGCGGCGAAGAGCATCTCAATGCAGATGATGAAATTCTGGTAGCCGGCAGCTACAGTCCCAGCTCCTACCAACTTGCCATCGATTATCTGAACCTCCGGAATCACCCCACATTTCTCCAGGATTGCCAGCAACATCCCTGCACCGGTGAAATGGGTCATAAGGTCATCACCAATGCGCCCATCAGGTCACTCGCTGGGCAGGTTCAGTCCTTATTGGACTGTTTGAAGAGGGGCTGTTGCCTCCACCCAAGAGTCTTGCTTAGATTTCTCTATGTGCCTCTGCAAACCACAGGGTTCCCCCAGACCCACTGATGCTTCCCTCCCATGTGCCTCAGCACTTGTTAAGCTACATAGGCAGCAACACAGCACAGCATGAACATCGGACATATTGGGTTCGTGTTTCATTCCAAGTTAGATTACTGCAGTACACCCTGCCTGGGGCTGCCCTTGAGAGCCGTGCGAAAGCTGCAGCTGGAGCAGGGGCTGGCATACGAATGCAGAACAAACTACCTAAATGCGACAGCAGGGCGAGTTGCTAGGACCAGTTCTGGCCTACTGCATTGGCTGTGTGTTCTTAGCCTATAAAACCTTATATAGCTTGGACCTGCAATACCTGGCGGGGCTCCTCTAAGGTAGGGTAGGGGGAGAGGTACTGACTAGCCCAGGGTCACACGGCGAGCGTCACAGCGCAGTAGGGAATTGAAGCATGGTCTCCCAGGTCTTGCACTCTAGCCACTGCACCACACTGTCTCTTCTCTGTATGTTTGTGGATAGAAGACAAAAGACACATCTGCTCTAGGACATGGAGCGGCAGAGAAACACACCTTGCCAAAAGGAGAGGAAGATGACGGCCTTGATGGTGAGAAACTTGAGGACCGGCTCGAAGGGGCGCAGGAGCTCTGTGGTGGCGAAGTAGAAGAGGAAGAGGGCGTAGAGGGCCAGGCTGACAGAGACGTTGTAGATGATGGTGATGTAAAGGTAGCCACTGTGGATGCTGGAGAGCAAAGAATTTAAGGGGAACACAAGGCATTGGTCCTAATCAAAGGGCAACCCTAGCGTGACTCATGGAATCGCCAGCCCTCGCTGACGGAGAGATCACCGCTCAGCAGGGAACGCTTGCAGTGCATCAGCAACGTAAGAACAACCCTTCCGGGTCAGGCCCAGGGTCCACCTGGCCCACCATTTTTGCTCACACAGAGACCAATCAGCCGCTCATGAGATCCCCCAAGCAGGGCATGAGGGCAACACTACCTCACTGAAATAATGCCTGAAACAAACACTGTCCCCCAGCCAGGACCCCCCACCTCTGACACTGGAGCCATCAGGACTCGTAGCCACGAGCTGCCTTCTCCTCCATGAATTGGCCCAATCCCCTTGTAAAGCTGCCCAAGCTGATGGCCACCACGAATCTTGTGGAATGACATTCCATAGTTAAACTCCTGCCCACCCTCCTTTCACCATAACTCTTCTCACTTGAAGTCTCCATCATTGTATTTCCCAAAAGCTTGTAGGATGATGGTGATGATGGCCATGAGGGGCTTCACAATGCAGAACTGCAGCGTTGCCTGGAGGAAAGAGGGTGAAAATGGGCAGCGCCTTCTCAGGCATGAGGCCGTGTGACATCCGCAGGCTTCCCCCATCCCCACCCTTGGCGTCCCCTCTCTCCAAAGTCCCTTGTCAGAGACGTTCCTGCCCCAAAATTCACTTCTGAGAGAGGGGGCATGAGCAGGAGCTACACCCCACCTTCTGTTTGCCCCAGAGAGGCAGGCCAGAGGTTTTCTGTTACCCTTCCAGTCAAGATGGGCTTCATCAACAACTTGCAATGAAAACTGTATTAAAGGTGTGTTTTAAACAATGGTTTTTCCCCAATAATTTGCACATCAACCACCTTGAGGTGTTACTGGATTAATAAAATACAGTAAGGGCCAATGTGGCATTGTGGTTAGAATACTGGGCTGGGGAGATCCAGGTTTTTGTCTCCCCTTGGCCATGAAGCTCATGGGATGACTTTAGGCCGGCCCCTGACTCTCAGCCTAACCCAACTCGCTGGGTTGCCATCTTGTGTTCCCTCAAGAGGAAGAAAGGTGGGATATATATGTAATAATTATAATAAAGAAAAATATTAAGTGGTATACACATACTGGTAATATATAACACATACTTTTTGGCATTTACTGCTTCCTGTCTGGAAGGAGTTATTCTGAGTGGGATGGTATAAACTGGTGTCCTGAAACAGAAGAGGGTTGGACCCTATGGCCTTCATGGCCCCTTCCAACTCTACTATTCTGTGATTGTGAGATAAAAATGGCTAGTTTGAGTCTCAGGTGCCATCTCTCCCTACACCATAAGATGCTGTCATACTCCGGGGCTACTCACCTGCTTGCAAAATCTGAGGAACCCGATGGAATAGGCCATGCCTTGCAGGCAGCATGTTCCATAGACACAGCTCGACCTAGAGAGAGAGAAGACACCCGCCACCCATCAATGAAGGCCCGTCAGTGGACATCCCATGGTGCAGGGGCTTAGAGGGAACATCGTCAGCCCATGCTGGACAGCAAAGACACGACAGTACGAGTATCATCCACTTACACAATGGGCTTCCCTCGGATCTCAGCCATGATGGTGCTCTCCCCACCAAGGTACTCGAAGCAAAGGCTCAGAAAGCTGTAGATCACAAAGGCTGTCAGAGAGAAGTGAGAGAAAACAATGCGCTGGCAGAACCGCGGCAGCAGAAGTGTGGTCCACCCGACAGCTCGAGTTTACAGAACCCGTGGACCAGTAACCTACGTAAAACGGTGCCTATGCATTGTTGTTATTTTGCGAGTGGAACATGAACATTTACAGCCACCTTCAGGTAGAGGACACTGTTCTAGGCACAGACTTCTCCAGGCCAGACCTCAAAACCTGGCTCACCCTCATAGCAGTCGCGCACCGAGTCGAAGTAAACATAATACTGGTGGCTGCCGATCAGCAAGAGACTAAGCCAGGAGTCGAAGGCGTAGATGGGCACGATGAACAGGATGCGGATGATGTAGCGCTGTTCATTAGGAATGGTGTAGTTTTTCAGGTGCAGGAAGATCTGGGAGGTGAAAGCGAGAGAAACACACACCTAGCAACACTGGGAAAAGCAGATCCAATGCCCAGTAGAGGGACACACACAAGGCAGGCTGGGATTGCTGTGTGAGCTAGTTTTATAAGGACGGATCTCTCAAAAAGGGCTGGGCTAATGCATGGAAGACGGATGCAATAATGACCACTGGCCATTGGGCATGACACGGAGCCATCATACTTTGCGATATCGGGGGCACGGTGCTTGGAAGGGGACATGGACATCTCTGCTGGAATTGGCTGTGCTGCTTGCTAGGGTGTTTTCTACCCCAATTTAAAGTGCCATTTTCAAAACTTTAAGGCCCTCAACGGGTTTAGCCCCACGTTGCTTGAAGGACTACCTCCTCTGGTATCCTCCTGCTCATGCTCTGAGATCATCAACACTTTCCACTGGTGAGCCCAAGGAAGAGGGCCTCCCACCCGAGCTTTGACAGTTTTTGCAAGTCTTCCAGGAGGCTGTGTAGTCTGCTTGTTTTCGCTGGACTTTATGATTTGTGGGCTGAGGCATCTATGTTTCTATGCTTAATCTGTTTTCATAATTAGTTAATGTATCTTTATGGCCTATCCATATAATTCCATGTTTTTGTTCTGCCAAGTAAGGACAGCCTCAACATAACTTGAATTTAAAAAAAAGCAAATCATCTTACGTACGCAGGACAATTTTCCTGATCCCGCATGGCAAAATATAGGCTCAACAGTAGCAAATATCTGTACAAGAAAGAGCAGCTTCACCCCACCAACCTGGCGTCCTCCAGGTGCATTGGATGACAACTTGAACCCAGCCACTGGAAGTTGTAATCCAAGCACCTGGAGACTACCAGGTTGGGGAAGACCAAGACAAAAGGATCTTCACCACCACGTGGGGACCCCAACCCCAATCTGCTAACCTCTTCCTTACTCTGGAATGTTGCGAGAACTAAAAGTGCACAAAGAGAACAAACGGACAGGGCTTGCAGTGACAACCATCTCCTTGTTGGCCAATCTTGGTCAAGATCTTTTAACGCGGGCTGGAGAATGCTCTGGTTCTCCACAGCTTGTTGGCCATGCTGGCTGGGGGTGATGGGAGCTGGAGTGCAACCAGTTCCCCAGCCCTGCTCTAAAGGGAAGTCTATTTTGCTCCCTGAAAGACAAAGAGAGAAAAGATCTGGAGGGTGGCAGCAGGAAAAGGACAGAAGGTCCAAGGTCCGATCTGATAATAAGTTCTTGCCCAGGGACTTGGAAAAGCTGATACTAGCACACTCAAGAAGCAATCCAGCACAGGCTTTCTTGGAAGGAAAGTCCACTACACTTAGTGGAACTTAGCCCTAAGGAAACATGGAATGCTTTATAATCACTGTAAAATATAATAATATTGTAAATAATTAACCATCCCAATAAAGTGTTGGATCATTATTTCCAATAACTTGAAAACATTTCCCCCTCCACCTTCTTTTCTTTACAAATGGAAGTGAGGACAAGCTTTTCAAAAACATATGGCAATCCAGGTTTCATAAAGCCAGCAGGAGCTAAGCAGGCTTTGCCCAGATTTTGTAAATGTGCCACTGGAGAGAAACAGTCCCGTAAGCAGAAAAACAGTACGTATTGAGATCTAATGCATAAAAAACTAGTCTCTGAATAATGTAAACACTGAAAAATTCCAGCATTGCCACTGCCTATAGGAACCTTCCCAGTGTGATAGACTGGACCACAACTCCTATCATCTCCAGCCAGCATGGACGATGGTGGCACTTCTACCAAAGCTAGGTAAAAATCTGTCTAGCTCCCACGGGCTTTCTGAAATGGCCAGTGGCCACAGTGGGCTTTGTAGTCCAACCTATCTAGAAGGTGGCCAGGTTGGGGAAGGCAGGCCTTCGGATTTTTCCTACTCACCTGGTGGCAAGTGATGAAAAGAGCAGCCCACACAAAGAGACCAGAGACGACTTTGGCTGTTGAGGTAGTCAGGAAGAGGGACTGGCTGTCCTGAGAGTGGTTCTGGTCAGCCTTGATCTGGGAGCCATCGGCCACTACGAGCTGGCTGGAGCCCAGGGACTGGAGGAAGGCCCTGAATTCAGTAGGTGCCATGCTGGTTGCTGGGAACTCTCCCGTGATGGGAGAAGACTGGTTGAAAGACGTTGAATTCATCACCTGCCGGAGAAGACAGGGAGAGAGACCAAAGGTGAATGCAGCAGGGGAGCAGAGCCACAGAAAGGCATGGTGAGGGAAAGCAAAAGCTGGCCAATGAAATGGAGGCAGCCAGGGCTTTGCAGGGTCTTCTTGCTCTCCTTTGGGCCATCACCCAAAGATGCCGCCATTGCCGTTTGATTCTCACTACCACCAAGAGAGAAAGTAGGCGAGAGAGAGAGCGAGAGCGAGAGTGAGAGCGAGAGACCGACCGACTGACACACCCAAACTTCAGGGCTGAGTGAGGATTTGAATAGTTTTGCATCTCCTTAGCCATAGTCCAACACCCTACCCACAGTCTGGCCCTGATTCTATTCCTCAACTCCACACTAGTGCAGAATTGGTATAGCAGCCGAACAAACCATCTCCACAGCTTGGTTTGAGGGCTGTGGGATTTTAAAACTGTATTACTTTACTCCTTAAGATTGGAAAAAATATACAGGAAAGTATGTAAACCGTAGCCGGTGTAACCTCAACGACCAGAAAAGATAGGGAAGAGGGAAGATTTGCAGGGACGGGGCTTCTGTCCTTTGTTTACTCTGCAGTCTCACAACATCTGGAGGACTGCAAATTCCCTACCGCTGTAGCAAAGCCATGATATTGTAACACGGAATTCACGCGTTCCCCTTGCACAGGCACAATTGCCTCACCAAACCATGGCTGAAAGGGAGTCCCAACTCAAAGCACTGTTTCTCTACCTGCCCCATTGATCTCCAGGGTTTGTCTGACGAAGACAGCCACCGCCCATCGGGAAACTCTTAAGCAAGGCTGCGTCCTTGGCCTGGACCTTTTGCAGCTTCGCTATTGCGGCAAGACTTCCTCTTGCTCAGTCCAAACTGGCCAGCAAGACACCCGAGAAAAGCCTTCAGGAATGTGCTGTCGAAAGCAGCAACCAACAGCAATAGCCAGTATATTCTGGGCATCTGATGCCCAGCATCATTGGTAAGCAGGCTGCAAGATGCCTCCAGATAACTCACTTACAGGCGCTTGTTCCTTACATTTATCTGAGTTTCTGTTCTGGGACTTAAAAACAGACGATGAGAAGTGCAAAGAAGAACCACTGCAGTCTCTTAAAAGCATAACTTGTAAAGGCTGTGCTAGCTGGGGATGATGGCAGCTGTAATCCAGCCCATTTGGAAGGCTCCAAGTTGGTCCAGAACCACTGGGAGCAAATACTGACCAGATCTTCCCTCCAGCGCAATTTTGTTTGGCCCAAATTTTATGCAAAGCACAAGGTGCGGCTGTTGTTTAATTCTTTAAGAAAAATCACACTCTAGGTCAGCCATCAGCAGAACTTCAGCATATGGCCTATTAAACCTTCATTTCCCTCCCTGTGAAGGGTAGGGGGCCCATTTATTTTTTTCCTTTTTACTTCAAGGCTCTGCATCCACCGATAAATAATGCACAATTTTAAAAAATAATAAATTGTTTTACCAACACTCCCAGCAGTGGAAAGCTGGGGTACGGAAAGGCTATGGCAGACCTCAGAGTACATGAATGCTTGGACTGGACAGAGAAATCATTTTATTTTTGTTACTCATTTAGTATACCTTAAAATGTGCAGTAACTAGAGCTCTTTCGGTGGCGTGCGATGAGTTCAAAACCAAATGCAAATATCACATGCAAACAAAAATAAATAAGAAATCACACAGGATATAACCAGGATGACACCACCAGCAAATAATAAAACCATGCTGGATACAGAAAACCAAAATAAAACCAGAAGCAGAATAAAATAGAGAAGTGCTAAAAACAGTTCTTAAAACACCTGGGGGGATTTTTTTAAGTCTTGACCTTGATCGGGCGCTTTGACAAGACCAGCACATAAGGTGAGCTTCGTTGGCAGTGTTTTCCACAAATGGGATGCCGCCGCTGAAAAGGCCCTCGCTTGCCTCGCCACCTGCTCACCTGGTTTGGTGGCAGCGCCAGAATGGGAGCCTCATGTTACGCCCTTCATGTCAGAGGAGGCAAATATGGGAAGTGGGGTTCCTTCAGGCAACCCTATTCGTACTCATTCTCCAGACCATTTTCAATGGTCGACCCAACAGCAACCCAATGCATTGCCAAACCCCAAATGTGTGGATCCCGCACAGTCGAAGTGCTTTCCCTCCTGTAGAACAGGGCAGGCGGGGAGGGTGCTCTTTCACAGCAATCCTACGGAGACTGTTCCCTTGTGGCAGTCACTATTTTCTGGTCCTGGTCTAGAGTTTAAAAAATATTTTGGTGCTGCCTCAAGAGCCTTTGTGCAAGGCTTACAGTATCTAATTCGGTATGGGAGAAGTGCCCCGGTGCCCTACCGACGTTTCAGATTACAACATCCATCATTCCCAGGTAGCATGAGGTGCTCCTGCAGTTGTTAACGAACTCGGAGAGATAGGTGGTTAATTTTCTGCCAAGCTTCCCAGTGCAAATGACTTTGAGATAAGGAAAGCATTTCCTGGTTCCTAAAGAATAGAACTATCTTCAGAAGAAAAAAGCCAGCTTTGATATTTCTCCCCTCGGTTCTCTAAAACAAGCATGGCCTTCACTTTTTGCACCATCGATGGAGCAGTTTGCCTTCCCTGGGTTGCTAATACCAGGATGGGAAATCTGTCACTGGCTCAGGCTGACAGGAGTTGGAGTCCAACAGCAACTAGGGAGCCACAATACATGTGCTAAATCTTCGGGCTGGTCATCTACTAAATAAAACCGATCCAGGCTCACAGCCACCACAACCAGCCTTTAAGTCCTTCTGGAGGGTGAGGAAGTCAAAAGCAAGCTGAAAGCATCCCACTCTTGCGAGCTTCATGGATTGGAGGCTGAGCCAGGCACGACGGGAGAAGCTCACACGCAGAATTGCCACCGGCATTCCCCCTGCTTCTCCCTGCTTCTGCAAAGCCTCTCTTCCCCTCCCAGCAGCAGCGTATGAGTGCACTCACCCCGAAGCTTCACGCTTTGCAGGAGAAGAACTGCACGGACGAGGCGTTACGCCGACAGAAGCGCCAGTGGCTAAAAATACTCCCCTTGAGGACCCTGGCAAAGGGGGTGGCAGGGGAGAGAGAGCTCAGGGCGGAGGAATGCACAGCGCAGAGGAGCTGCCGCAGCTGCTGGAAGGCTGGAGATCTCCTTCGGATGGCAGCAGCAACCCGGCGTTCACCCCCAGGGACACCTGCAACCGGAGAAGGAAAGAGACCGATCGTCAAGCCATCCACTGCCCATCGGGGCTTTCCCGAGGATTCTCCACCCTGTGTGGCCAACGGTGGCTCAGCTATAGCCATCAGGAGCCTGGCAAAGGAAGCGGTCCTTGTGGCCAGCCTGAAGCTCCATGGCACAGTTACCGGCGTAAACATTAACCAGCCTTCAAAGGCTGTGCCGAGTTGGTGCCCTGGGAAAGGAAGAGCTCCGGAATGGCTGCGTTCTTCCTTGTTTGCTCATGGCCGAGCCTGGCACAACGTGGCATGGTTCCCAGAGCTGAAACAGACCTGGGTGAACCACCCAACAGACAACTGAATGGCAGCAGGGCTGGGCAAAAGCGGGTGAAAACCCCTTGGTGGGGTGATCTGCAGTCGATGGACAAACACCCGAGTCCCGAGTGTCACTCAGCATTCGTGTTAGCAGTTCAGTTTGGCAGGTGCTTTCACAGACTACTGCAAGTGGAATGGGAGAGTCTGAGTCTAGAAGACGATTCAACAGGTGGAGCTACAGCCAGCAGCCCATTCCCTTAAGTGACAGTAACAAAAATGCTCAGAAAGGCTTCTAATCTTCACGGAAACTAGAATCCCTATGGAATCTCCAGTAAATACAGCCCAATTTCATTATCACCTCTTGTTCAGCAGTGGGCTTCCAAGCAAGCACCTGGTTTTCTATGTGTTTACAGCTTTCACCCTGAAGTTCTGCGTTGGCAGGTGCATGCAGGGTGAAGCATTCATGAAGAAGTTTATGGATGTCACCGAAAAGCATACAGACATTTCCCTGCTAGAAGTCTCGACCTTAAATCTTCATCTTAAAGACAGTCCTGTCTGGCTGATGTACGTGGCTTTTGGGTACTTCACAGAGGACAGCAAAAGCACACCATTCAGTGACACAGAGGTGCATTTGTTCTGGTCTACATCCATTATCACTGGTGTTTCGGAATGGACGCAGTTGACCTTAGCTTTATTGCAAGGCCTGGCACCTTGCTCCGAGCAGTGATGAGATTTCTCCCTGGCCAACATTTGCTTCTGATGAGCTGTCGGCTATAAAAATAGCGTAAGGATGCTCCTCTTAGGTCTCTGGGAGTGGGTTCATTTTCCAGGATGGGCTGTAGGACTCCAACCATGTGCCCCAAGAGCATGAGTGGCAAACAATGGTTAACAAAGGTGTTGTTACCATTTCTGCCTTGCCGGCTTTGGAGCTGCTCCCTTCTGGGTAATAATTTAGCTTTAACCTTCTTACTATTTAGCAAGTTTGGGTGGCATTTTAATTTAAGGAATGCTCACTTAAGGATGTTCTGCTGATTGACTTCAATATGTTAGACTTTAAGGGTCCCCATAGGATTGTTTTTATTTTTATTATTGCTTTTGCTATTAAAAATGCACTTTAGCTTCCCTCTGGAGAGCAGATAATAAGAGAGTAAATTTTCAAGTAGCAGCAGAAAGTATTGAGGTGGCCAGGTCAATGGGAAAAGGCTGAAAAACCAAGAATTTCACATGAACTGGATAAGGTTTAGTAAGTTCTTTATCTAATAAAGCTCACACCACCCTTGAGATATTGGGAAGGGAAAGAAGGGTCAAGCTAGTTCAGCCTTCCCCAACCTGGTACCCTCCAGAAGTTCTGGACTTCAGCTCCCAGCATCCTTAATGCCTCAAAATAGTGACTGCCTCCTGCATTTTTCCAACATTAATATACCAGGAAAAGACAGGCAGTGTGGTGTAGTGGTGGGAGTGTTGAAGTGGGACAGCACAGACCTGGCTTCTAGACCCCACTTGGCCCTGAAGCTTTGCGCTGGTCACCGACTCCCAGCCCAACTGACTTCTCAGGGGATTTGGAAGGCTAAATCAGAGAGGAGTTAGGACTCATTTCCTTAACTCCTAATTTTCTGTGTGTGTGTGTGTGTGTGTGTGTGTGTGTGTGCAGCATTCCTCCGAAGGCGCATTCAGTAACATATGTCTCCTTGCCTGCAACCTGCACCCAGTTGAACTCATACCTCCAGTTTGTATGAACTGGGCCTCAGCACCCACCCTCGACTGGTTTTCATACAAATGTCCATCGTACCTCTGGAATGCGCGCAGGGCCTAACTTTGCACTGTGAGTCCCAGTTAAAGGTACATACAGGATTTGTACAGGATGAGTGATGCATTTAACCTCTCAACAGAAAAGCATTTCTGCACGTTTCCGGGACTCACTTTGGTGTGGTGTAGTGGTTCGGGTATCAGACTAGATCTGGTGAGTCCTGGGTTAATTCCCCAGGCCACTGTGAGGCTCTCTGGGAAGTTTTGGCTGTTGGGTGATATAGAAACCTAATAAAAAACAAAATCATTATTTGTTTTTCAGTGCCAGGCTAAGACCTTTTTATTCAAAACTTATTTTAATTGCTAAATTATTGAATTAATTAGGATTTTAAAATTAGCCGAGAATGCACCGGGGGGGTTTAATTTTTTTTCTTTTAAATTATTATATTATTATTATTATTTATGTATGTTTTATGTATTTTTTGTGAGCCGCCCTAGGCTTTGTTGCGATGGGGGCGGCATAGAAATGTTTTAAATAAATAAATAAAAAAGTCAGCCTGCTGGACCAGTGGGGTGATACTGTGCCCATCACTGGTCACCATGACTCAGCCTAGCCTACCTCACAGGGCTGTTGTGTGGAAAGTGGGGAAGGCAAGGATAATGTACGGCACTGTGGATGACTGGTGGGGAACAAGTGCTGAGCAAAGCAAAATGCGACCAGCCCAACCCTGACACGGAGCAGGTCCCAGGATCAAAATCCATCCCATCAATGGATGGATGGATGACGGAATGAAAGACACCTCACAAACAATAGATTTAGGCTGGCCTCAACCGCCTATCATACACTGGGCCATGCTGGCTGAGGATGATGGGAGCTGCAGTCCAACACCACTGGCCAGGACTATGTTGGTGTAGACAACACTAAGCTAAACTAGTGTTGCTTTCTAATGCAACAGGAATTCTGCTGCTCGAAAACCTGTCTCGTTGCCAACCTGTAGAACAGGCAAAAACACGCTGTTAAAAATGAGGTCATCCTGCACTTGGGTTCCATCCTGCTGCTGTCACATCGCAAGGTCAGGGCAAAGCAGGGACCTTTAACCTACTGCAGGCCAGGCAAGCTCTCTGCAAACACACCTACGTCGCTGTTTGCTCTGAGGCAAGAGGAGCAGAAAGCAGCGATTGGAGCGATCAGCAATTGGGCAGGTTCACCCCTCCTAAGCTGCCTGCACTGGATGCCCCCGGAGCCTGATTTCAAGGCTTCAAGGGGGTTGCTTTGAATGCAGACACACCCATTTTGAACAAAAAGAGAAAAGGGGGGAACCAGACAAGAAAGGAAAGGAAAGAGGATATTATGAAACATAGCTATGCCCGGTAATCATTCACATTGTTCTTAACTTGTAAAGAAAAAGGAGGAAAAGGCAGATTCTAACACTTCCCCAAAACATGTGCTCTCCAAATAGCTGAAGAAGCATCTCTTGCAAGCTTGATGGCTGTAGGACAAATGGCTGAATACGCCAAAGATCTTTCCACTCTCACCGGGCTCATTTGAAGGCTTCAGGGTTCAACCGGCACAACTCATCCTCTGTCATGACCCCGTGGCCGGTCGGCCTTGTGCAGAGGGGCCCCCCACCAGCCTGACAGCCACACGGGGCCAAGCAGAAGGCCAAGGCCGTGCGGCTGCACATGCAAGGAACAAGGAAACAATGGTTCCACGATTTCCCAGGAACTCTGGAAAGCTGAGGGGTCCGGTGTGCGTGCAGGAAACTGGCCTGCTCGAGCCTTCGACAACATTAAGCCGAAACCCGGAAGCAGTTGCATCCAGATGCGCCAGGCTTTGGGCAGCTGCAGCCCGACACGCCTGGAGCGTGGCCAGTGGAGGAAGCCCATCTCGCAGTGTCCATGCACGCAAGGCTAACGGACTTCTCTCGCTGTGCTATGTGGTGAGGTCTCAGCAGGACCGGAAAAGGGAGAGCTGGTCTCTTTCATGCTTTTCAGGCTGTACCCCACATTCCCAGCTCATAGAGCTCCAGGGCACCCCGGCTGGAGGACAGCAGCTGCCTCTGAACTAGGGCTCCTTAGCAAAGTACAGCAAAGGGGGGAAGGTTTCAAGCATATGGGGAGAGGGGGAATCGGCACCTCTTTCCTCCCCTGCACCCATCACACTACAAGGCTTTTGTTTTAAGTTGGGCGGAGTCCTGCTGTTGGAAGCCCGGACTTCACTTTTATGTCTTGCCAGGGCTCTGCGCCCTGATCAGCGTTGCATCAAAAAGCCAGCTAACCCTGCAGTCCTGTGCAAGTTCTTTGCCTAAGGCGGCTTTCCCCAACTGGACAGCTCCCCAATGCATTGGACTACAACTCCCAGCCAGCAAACCATCCAGGAGGTTCTAGTCTGAGGTTCTAGACCCGGAACTATGGAGGGAAGGGGCAGGCCGCTGATGGGTCCAAACTAGGCATCGGGGCTTCCCATTCGCCCCGCCTGCCCAGCATAGTTTCCCATCCCCAAAGCGCCTCTCCTTTGTGCTCCTCAGCCCCTTCCTTTTGGACCAATCCCGTCCAAGGGTGTTTGCAACTGAGCTGCTCGCAGCCAGCATGAACAGAAGCGGCAGTCTGTGGTGCTGCAGTCCCCCGATGATGCTCAGCACCCGGCGCAGCCCTGTCCGCAGGCAGGCAGCAGATGTGGAGAGGTGCATCTGAGGGAGAGTCCGCGTGCCACGAGGCCTGTTCTGCTCCCCCGAAGCTAGTTAGCTTGCTGCCTCTGG